CCAAAATCAAATACGCATCATTCCTCGGTTATAGAAATCGGCAGAGCACAGTTCGTCTAGAGGAATGGCAAAAATCCAAACAGAAGAACGCATCGATTAATTCTTTTGAAAAAATGAATCAAATAGAATTAGGTGCATCATATACTGCATACATGCATACAGATGATAGGTGTACTCTATTTTATATGTAAAAATTTAAGCCTAATTTAGAATTTTAATCACATATTTTATTTTTTAATTTAGTTATCAAATTTTAAAATGCTTTAATTTATTTCTTTTAAGTTTCACTTTAGGTTGGTTTGGATAACCTTTTCATAAATACTTTTATGAGAAATAAATAATAAATAAATAAATAAAAACTCCTCTATAAACAAAAATTAATATATGAATTAATATATGCATATATTAATTTGTAAAAGCTTATTGATATTAATTTCTGTGAAATCTTACTTGTTTAACTTATATTTAATCTATTAATTTTATTTTTCTTCTTATTTTTCTATCATATAAATGCTTTTGAAAAAGTTATCCAATTTAGTCCCTTAAAGCATGTTGAAAGGTTTTTCATTCCTTAGTCATGTATTATAACTCACTTTAAACGTCTTTACACTTAAAAAGGAATTACTTGATAGATGTTTTTGATTCACTCATTAAAATAAATTGATATATTTAGAAGACACTAAATTTATGAGTAAAAGATGAGGCTCATCTTTCACTCATAAATTATCTATATTGTAAAAAAAATGTTTGTGTTTAAAAATCATATATAAGATTAATTTTATTTATTTGATTATCTAAAAATACTTACATTAATAATGAATGAGAGTTAAACTCATATGATGTAAAGAGATAAATATATAAAAAAATTGTGGAAATATTTATTTATTTAAAACAACAACTATATATATATATATATATATATATATATATTTTGTGCAAACCATAGACATCTATGAAACTAATTCCTTTTCAAGCATTGAGATCATAGAAGAGGGTTTGATAACTTTAATTTGTTAATATTTAATATCATATTAATCTTATAAAATGATAAACAAATTATAATAAATATTAAAATGTTAATGAAAATGGAATAGAAATTGTGCTACATATTAGTCTATGTGGCACACACATTGAAGTCATAAGCGCGTTTGTTTTTGAAAAATCGTCCAACCCCTTCTTTTCATGTCATAGACATACTTACACACACCCATCTCTATCTCCTCCATCACCACCAAACTAAACGCACTTATTCACTTCCTCACATGGCCGACGAACAACCTCAACCGAACATGGCCGCAACAAAGGAGCGACTCCGCACAAGATGCTGCTACTGTCTCTGCCACACCTTCTGGGTCCTCGTAGTCCTCATAATCATCCTGGCCATGCTCGTGATATTGGTGTTGTACATCATCATCACGCCTCGCTCCTTCAGGTTCCACGTCACCGAAGCCAGGCTCACGCAATTCGACTACAACGCCAACAACACCACCCTCCGCTACGACCTCCTCCTCAACATCACCGCCACCAACCCCAACAAGAAGCTAAAGATCTACTACGACGTCGTTCAGGCCACCGCGCTCTACCGCGCCGTTAACCTCTCCACAACGGACGTTAACATGCCATGGAACTCCTACCTCCAGTACAAGAAGACCACTAACCGCTTCAGCGCCGTTTTCTCCGGTCAACGTTTGGTGCTGCTCAATCGCAACCAGGTTTCGGAGTTTCGTGAAGATAACGAAGATGGGGTTTTCCCTATTCGTATTAAGATACGCTTCAAAATTAGGTTCAGGATTTGGACCTTTCAGATTGGGTACTTCAATGCCAGAGGCACGTGTAAGCTCAACGTTCCGTTGGCTTCTTCAAGTGGCAAAACGGTGGCTGCGTTTGACCCCACCAAGTGTCAAATTGATTTCGGAATCTGAGCTATGGAGTGGGGTATACTACGTTGTTGTTGATGATTTCTACGCGCATTGTTTGTAAATGTGTGATTGATCCATGTATGTTATTAGCTGTACATAAATTATTTTTATAATGATGATGAAACACTGTTGATTTTAAATGATTTTTTGAAACTTAGGATTAATTTTATAAATAGATAACCGAATATGAAGGCAACTACATGTTCTATCCCGAGAAAAGCTGAAATAGTTTTAAATACCAATTTAAAATCAATTTTAAGAGAAAAACATACGTTTTGTGAGAAAAAAAATAAAAGTTTGTAAGTGTGATTTTTGTTATTTTTCAAGTCAATTAAGTATAACTTAACTTTTATAACTTGTTATCTTTCATCACATTCTTCAAAACTACGTGTGACTTCAACACTAGTACTCAGAGAGTAGTATATAGTTAAAAATATAAATTTAATTAAAATATAGTAATAAAATGATTTTTTTTATATTAATCTTATCATGAATTAATATATATATATATACATTGATTTTTTTTATGATAAATACTTGAAAAATTATATGCAGATTATTTTTAATTAATTGACTATCGAAAAGTTTACTTTGAAATTATATATTAAAAGTAATCTCAATGTTTTCATTTTATATCTTTATTTTAATTAGGTCTTAATTTCTTCTTTCATTTTTGGATATTTAATTTTTTAATTTACATTTTATTCACAAGGTTTTTCTTTCTATTAGTATGGTCGAAAAATTTCGTATCTTTATATATTTTATTTAAATAAAAAAGTAATTTTTTAAAAATAAAAATAGTGAATTTGGATTCATGTAATCACGATAAAAATATCTTTAAAGAATAAAAATTGAAATGCAAGTAATTTATAAAATTGAAATTCAAAAGGAAAAAATAAAGATATAAAAAATAAAAAATATTTACTTTTGTAAAGCATATAAATGTTGAAATAGTCGGTAAAAAAAGAAAAAACAAACAGAAAAAAATATTAATAGTGATATCTCTCAAAAGAAGTGGTAGTGTGTCATTACTTCAAAAATGTAAAAATCAATAAAAATCTCTTATAATTAATAAAAATAAGTGTTAATTGAAAGTGTATAAATATAACTTTTGACATAATTCATAAAGAATATTTAAAAATTAAAAAAAAAAAAGTGAAACCAAATCAAGATATCTCTTTATTAATGGTTAAATCCGGATGCATCCCACTTAATTAACATAAATACATTTAGATAGCATTACTATAACAAATTTTTTTATTAACGATAATTATATAATATTAATAAATTAATTATCTATATTTTATTATCTAATAAAAATATTAATGATTAATATATAATAGTTATTAAAAATGTATTTATATTATACCAAAATTTACTATTAGCGATAATTATTTATTGAAAAAAAACTTAAATCTCATATCAATTAAATATAAGATAATTAAATAATATATAAGTGGATGATAACTCTCACCTTACAAAGTTGGTTTTGTAGGGTTAAGTTAGACCCATAACTCACTATTCTAAGTTGGTATCTGATCACTCACCATTATCAAACTCAATAGTACTAAACTTGAAAGAGTGTCCAAGTCCTATACCGACTATAAATAAGACAATTAAAGATTATATAAGTAGAGAGCAATTCTTACCTTACAACTCAACATCTCTTAGAAGATAAGATAATTAAAGAATATATAAATTGTTCCGGCTACAAAATGTTTCTCATGACTGGAGCACTAACGTACAAAATTTTTCTCTCATTCTTTCTGGAAATTTTTCTGTCTCCCTGGTGTTGTTGCTTTTTGATAAATTGTGTGTTTTCTTTAGGTTTTTGCCTGCCTATTTAACCTAATTTCTCACTGTTATCTTTGATATCATTTTTCCTGATATTTGCAATATATCCTTTTAGGATCATATGCATGTGCATCTTGTATGCCTGATATCTTGTATTTTTGTTTTATATTTTTATCCAAGATAATCCTTTTTTTATCATGATATAAGTAGATTACGTATTTGTATAAATTTTAATTCTGAGGTGATCTATTAAGACAAATAAGCTAAGAGAGTAACTTAGTTTCAAACCATTATAAGCTCGACTCGAATTTCTTAACAACCTTTAAAGGTGATAGGCTCGTCTCGAAACCTAGATCTACTTTAGAAGAGGTCCTAAATTCTTGTAGCTTGTTAAATCGGTATGGGTCCTAGTGCTTGTTATACAAGCTCGGTTGCCGAGTTATGAAGGAATATCTCAATTTGACACTTAGATATTTTTTCACTAGAACTCAAAAGCTAGGTCAAAGAGGGTACACAATCCCCTAGTCTTAAGCTTAATGAGGCGCAAAGACTATCGAGTTCCAACTTCAATCTCTACAACTTATTAGGGTTTAGGTTACCGAGCTATGAAGAGACATCTTAGTCTGACACTTGGATATTTACTTGGTAGATCCCATAAGCCAGGTTGGATCCAGATAGATGAGGGTACATAAGTAAGGGGCAACCTTCATCTTACAAACATCGACTAAATAAGGTAATTAAAGAGTATATAAATTATGAATCATTTCTTAAATTTTTAGTGGCAATAGCAAAAAAATATTAAATATAAAAAAAAATTAAATACTAGTAAAAAATATCACAAAAATTTATAATTTTTTTACTATTATAAATATTTTTACCAGTATACAGAATAATTACTGATAAATATTTTATTGATACTACTTACAATAGCTAATATAAAAATGTTAGTAAAAGATTTTAGGGTCATTCTTATTACCATTAAATATAATGTCAAATATCACTAAAAGCCTATTCGTCGTAGTGCATTGATCTTATTAAATAAATCTTAATCGAAAGTTAAACATTGTAAACGCTGTAGTTTTGAGCCAAGGGAATGTATAATAAATTAGGGGACAAAATTGACGATAGCGCACACAAAATAAATGTAGAATTCACTTAAATGTGTTTTAATATGGTGAATTTGATTTTTTTTTTCTCTCTTAAGTTTAATTTTTCCCCAGTATGAATTGCTTAAAACATTAAAGACTATTTTTATTATTTTAAATTAAGAGTGTAATCATTCTGAATTTATATATAAATATAAAAGACCAAATTCATATAGATTAAAAAAATTAATTAAATATATTTAAATTTTATAATTTTATATAAAATATGCACTATATTTATTAAAATATCTTTAAATAGATAATAATTTTATTTATTATTTTAAAAATATTTTTAATTTATAAACATTAAATAACATTGACTTAATTAAAATTTGTTTATACTTTAATATAAAAAAAAATTAATTTTCTTTTTGAGTTCGGAGTACTAAATAAATATTTAAGTATTTTTTAAAGTATTTTCTTCCACTTGAATGCAGCCTCGGCCACAAAATTAGTGTGAATACCCTGTGTATGCCGCAATTCTCTAAGACTATACTTTCAACCCACATCATGAATTTCTCTTATTAGAGTATTTAATTTTGATTAAAATAGTTTTTATAATTTTACTTATTTTATTTTTTAGTTTTTATAGTTTAAAATATATTTTTTTAATGACCAGTCATGATATCTATACTTAACGGTTCAACTATTATCTATGATTAACATACAAACAGTACTTAGAAAGTACATGTAGAACAATATAAATATATGTATAAGGATAAACCAACAAAAAATGTAAATGTTCCTCAATTGAACAACCATATATCATTTACACATATTTATATACAATAATTCAAAATAATTGTAATGTTAACATAAGTTATTGATCAAGTACTCTATAAAATTATACAAAAGTAGTCTTAAGTTACATTGCCATCCAGCATGGCCCTCAACCCCACCAGACTCCTTCAACCTAACCATATTATGCTCCCATGTAAACATGATTATCATAATCCAACCACAAAAAAAAATCTAAGGATAAGCTAGTATTCAAAAGGATAGTCATACAACAAGTATAGAAGTAAATATAACTATTCTACCAATCAGCAACATGTAAACCATACAACAAAACGACATCATGACTTACAACATAGTGACATATCCACAACACTTAAACATGACATCAACAACTTTGAAAGACAAACAACTTAATCATTTCAAACTTACACCACAACCTTGCCATTCAACACATAATTCCACATAACATATGAGCCACACCATAATCAATACATCATATGCATAACACCTCAATTATATACATTGTCACATATTCACTTATGGAGATCTTCTACAACAAAGGTGAGCTGTCTAAGTGGTTTGATCCTATTGAACTAATACAATCCTTTTACACTCGTTAGATCAACAACCAATTTAAATCAAAGTCCACAACAGTATGGTTTCTCGAATGTCACCATTTAAACTAGGAGTCTAGTATTCCTATCAGGGTAGAACAATTTGTATATGAGTCTACCATGACATTAGTTTGTATCACTAAGCCTCCTATGAGATTAGCCTACCAACTACGCTCCAAATACTACTTCCTTCCAATATTCACACTAAGCTTCTGACCTTGGATCTTACTTGGTTGATCACTTTATACATGTATGTTTTTACCTTTCCCACATATGGATCAACATTGATCACTTGTAATTAGTATAGCACGACCTGACCCAAATACTGTGGTCATTTATAGCCAGTATGTTTCAACCTAATCCACATACCACGTCAACTAAGGTCTTAGAGGAGATTCAACTATTCACTTTAATAATTAATTATTCAAGAAGGATTTTCGAAAACTAGGCTCGTAGAGTACCACACCAATATCCTCACAATGGGATATCCAACCTTATAAAAGACCGTTTCCTCTAGTCCTGACACTACAAGAAAAATGCAAATTATTATCAACGGAAAAAGAATTCATAGGAAAAATTATATTATCAACGAATAATTTTTGAAAAATACAAATTTGTCAGAAAACTTATATTTTTTACGGATATATCCGTTGGTGATTTCTGAAAGATATAAATCTATCAGAAAATTTATATTTCTGATGGAAAAAAAAATTGTAGATAAAATTATATTACTGATGAAATATTTCTCATAAATTTATATTTGTCAAAAATGTAAGAATGTTTTACCAAAATTGACAATCATATATTAAAAAAGATTAATAAAATTTAAAAAAAAAAATATATATATAT